GAACAATACAAAGAATCAATATAACAAAAAGTTGGTTCTTGGAGAAAATCAACTAGATAGACAAACCTTTATCCAAACTTACAAAACAACAAAGAGTGAACATGCAAATTAATAAAATCAGGAATGAAAAGGGGGACATAACAACAGACACAGAGAAAATCCAGATAATCATCAGGTCATACTTTGAAAACGTATATTCCTCTAAATTTGAAAATCTAAAGGAAATGGACAATTTTCTAAACAGATTTCACTTAACAAAATTAAATCAAGAACAGATCAGCAACTTAAATGGACCTTTAACCTGTAAAGAAATTGAAGCAGTCATCAGAAGTGTCCCAACCAAAAAAAGCCAGGGACTCAGTGCAGAATTCTACCAGAAATTCAAAGTACAGCTAATACCAATTCTCCTCAAAGTATTCCACATAATAGAAGCAGAAGGGTCATTACTGAACTCTTTTTATGAGGTCACAATTACCTTGATACTCAAGCCACACAAAGACACAACTAAGAAAGAGAACTATAGGACAATCTCCCTCATGAACATTGATGCAAAAATTCTCAATAAGATATTGGCAAATGAATACAAGAACACATCAGAGAAATCATCCATACTGATCAAGTAGGCTACATCCCAAGGATGTAAAGATTGTTCAACACACGAAAATCCATCAATGTAATCCACCATATAAACAGACTGAGGAAAAAAATCACTTGATCATCTCACTAGATGCCGAAAAAGCCTTTGACAAAATCCAACACCCCTTCATGATAAAGGTCCTGGAGAAATCAGGCTTAACAGAAATATACCTCAATATAATAAAAAGCAATATACAGCAAGGCAACAGCCAACATCAAATTAAATGGTGAGAAGCTGAATGCAATTCCTCTAAAATCAGGAACAAGACAAGGCTGTCCACTCTCTCCATACCTCTTCAATATTGTCCTTGAAGTTCTAGCTAGAGCAATAAGACAACAAAAGGAGATCAAGGGAATACAAATCGGAAAGGAAGAAGGCTAACTCTCAATATTTGCAGATGATATCTTAGCCTACATAAGTGACCTGAAAAACTCAACCAGGGAACTCCTACAGCTGATAAACACCTTCAGCAAAGTGGCAGGATACAAGATTAACTCAAAAAAATCCATAGCCCTACTATATACCGATGACACTTTAGTGGAGAAAGAAATCAGAGAAGCATCACCCTTTACAAATGCCACAAACAACATAAAATACCTTGGAGTAACACTAACTAAAAAAGTGAAAGACCTGTACCCTAAGAATTTTGAGTCTCTAAAGAAAGAAATTAAGAAGATACCAGAAAATGGAAAGATCTCCCATGCTCTTGGATAGGCAGGATCAACATAGTAAAAATGGCAATCTTGCCAAAAGCAATCTACAGATTCAATGCAATCCCCATCAAAATCCCAATACATTTCTTCTCAGACCTTGAAAGAACAATTCTCAACTCTATATTGAGAAACAAAAGACCCAGGATAGCCAAAACAACCCTGTACAATAGAGGAACTTCTGGAGGCATCACCATCCCTAACTTTAAGCTCTATTACAGAGCTATAGTCCTGAAAAGAGCTTGGTATTGGCACAAAAATAGACAGGTAGACCAATGGAATAGAGTTGAAAACCCTGAAATTAACCCAAACACCTACGAACACCTGATTTTTGACAAACAATCCAAATGGAACAAAGAGAACATCCTCAACAATTGGTGCTGGCATAACTGGATACAAACATGTAGAAGACTACAGATAGACCCAAGCCTTTCACCCTGCACAAAACATAAGTCAAAATGGATCAAAGACCTCAACATAAATTCAGCCACACTGAACCTACTAAAGATAAAATGGGAAATACTCTTGAATTAATCAGTACAGGAGACCGCTTCCTGAACATAGAACTGGTACAGGAGACCACTTCCTGAACATAACACCAGTAGCACAGACACTGAGATCAACAATTAATAAATGGGACCTCCTGAAACTGGGAAGCTTCTGTAAGGCAAAGGACATAGTCAGCAAGACAAAACGACAGCCCACAGACTGGGAAAAGATATAAAGAACTCAAGAATCCAGTTTCCAAAACACCATACAATCCAATTAAAAAACGGGTACAGAACTAAATTGACAATTCTCAATAGAGGAATCTAAAATAGCTGAAAGACACATAAGAAAGTGTTCAACATCCTTAGCCATCAGGGAAATGCAAATCAAAACAACTCTGAGATACCATCTTACTCCTGTCAGAATGGCTAAAATCAAAAATACCAATGACAGTTTATGCTGGAGAGGATGCAGAGAAAGAGGAACTCTCCTCCACTGCTGGTGGTAGTGCCAACTTGTACAGCCACTTTGGAAATCAGTATGGCAAATCCTCAAGAAAATGGGAATGAGTCTACCACAACATCCAGCAATTCCACTCTTAGGCATATACCCAAAGAAACACATCCATATAACAAGGACATCTGTTCAACCATGTTCATAAGCATGCTTTGTAATAGCCAGAATCTGGAAGCAGCCTAGATGCCCCTCAACCGAAGAATGGATAGAGAAAATGTGGTACATTTACACAATTGAGTACTACTCAGCAGATAAAAACAATGAAATCTTGAAATTTGCAGATAAATGGATGGAACTCGAAGAAACCATTCTGATCAAGGTAACCCAATCACAAAAAAGACAAACATGACATGTACTCACTCATATGTGGATTTATGATACATATTAGTGACCGTACTTTATCAGAGCTGTTTTTAATGATGTTGCTCAGAATGGTTTCCTTCCAGATGATGATTGAGTAGCTAATTTTAAAAAAATGTTACTCTTGTGGTACCCTGCACCATTTTTTTCTCTTTCTGTTTTTTTTTTTTAAATGGAGTATGCTGGATCTCTCTACAATTTTGTTCAAATGACTGCAGAACCTTGAAAAGCTGTTGCTGCTATTGATGCATAACATACTGCCATTATTGGTCTTTTTATATAAATATAAATATATATACATATATAATTTGAATTTTTGGAAATTTAGCTGTGCTGTCAACTTTGGAAAAATGTATCCCAGTTTACCGTGTTGGGTTGGCATTGTACAAAAATTAACAGCCATATTGGTCTAGAAATGTTGAACTTAATTTTTTCCATTTGTACAGGGGTAACATATTGTATTAAATATGTAAGGTCTTTAAAAAAATGAAGAGATTTTGAGAGCCCATCCCATGTGAAGGGATACTCTCTTGGCCTGGACACATGGGGCAGGGCCTAGGCCTGGACCAGGATGCTGTGGTAGACTTTGGGGAGCCCCTTGCCCCTTTTGAGGGCCTTACCCTGCCTGGGGAATGGAAGGGGGATGGCTAGGGGCAGGTGGGATGTTGGGTGGAGGGGAGGGAGAGGGAGAAGGGATTGACATGTGAAGCAAGCTTGTTCCTAATTTGAACTAATAAAATAAAATAAAAAGTATAAAACAAAAAAGAGCTGTGGTGGCCTGTGAGGGTTGGTGTGGGGAGGGAGGAGCAAAGCTGAGCTCTGGAATTGCCATCTTAAGAATGTGCTCAGAAGGGAATGCTCAAATGGTTTGTATTTTTTTACTTAGGGTTTATCTTTTGCAACTATGTTACCTAAATCTTAATCAAGGATAATGTTATACAGTTTATAAATGAGATTTAGTACAGTTTAGATGAAGTTTAGTGGCCTTCCTATTGGAGTTTTCTGTGATGGTTTATGTACTGTTGTTCTGTTTAAAAAGAATGAAAGAGCCTTTTGTTTTTATTTTTAGTTTCTTTTATTCTTTCCTGTGTGTGTGTGTGTGTGTGTGTGTGTGAGAGAGAGAGAGAGAGAGAGAGAGAGAGAGAGAGAGAGAGAGAGAGAGAGAGAGTGTGTATCTGTGTATCTGTGTGGTCATGCGTGTATGGTGTTTGCTTAAGTTTAAGAAGGGATCAGAGATTCATACCAGGTGTCTTCCTTAGTTGCCTTCCACTTTATTTTTAGACAGGGTCTCTCACTGAACCTGGAGCTCACAGGTTCAGCTAAACTAGAGCTAGCAAACCCCAGAGAACCTCTTATCTCTGCCTCCTCAGTGCCTGTACCCTAGCTTTTTTTTTTTAAATACCCCCTCTCTCTGTGTGTCTGTGTGTGTCCTTCCTCTCTTTCCTTCCTTTCTTTTCATTCTTTTTCATTTTGTTTACATGAGTACTGGGCCTCTGAACTCAGGTCTTCATGCTTGCCTATCAAGAACTTTACAGCTGAGCCATCGCCTCAGCCCCTTTTTATTTGTTGACTGATTGATTGTTATTTTTGAGATAGGGCCTCATTTATCCCAGGCTGCCTTCAACTTGAAATGTAGCCAAGGATGATCGTCTACTTCTGATCCTCTTGCTTCTACCTCCACATGCTTTGATATGGTTGTGCACCACCACATACAGATTTTCTTCCATGTTGCTGGAAAGTGAACCTGTGTGTTAATCAGTGCTAGACTGGTACAGTAGAGCTATTGAGCTATTCTGTTATAAGTAGATATAATACAAATATGAAATACCAGTTCTGCTTTGCAGGTCAAAACAATTGAATAGGCTACCAAGGATGAGGACTGAGCCAATCAGAGAGACCCAGTGTCTTTACATGCTGAGAGACAACATGCATTTAGTTCTAATACACTTTGGTTTGTTTTCTGTAAATATAGGATTCCTCATAAGGCTGATTCTTTGAGTTTCATCAACTGGTTTTCATTTTATCTGATTGCTAAATGGTGGGAATCTTTTACCCAGGATACCATTTGTCAAATTAATGTGAAATACAGTTTCTGTACATTTAGAATGAATATAAAATGTTGAGATTCCAACTATGAAATGAAAACATAAAATGCTAAATAAACCACTCTTATAGTCAGTCCCCATTTCAGGGAATTCACTGAGAATGAACAGAAGCAGCTCCTTATGAAATTATGGGCTTTAGTGTGAATTACCATGCTAGGGTAATGCTCTTTTGTGTTGTTTCAGGGAAAGAGATAACAGCAGAAACCTTCATGGAGAAGTTGGATAATGGTGCCTTGCTCTGTCAGCTTGCAGCAACTGTGCAAGAGAAATTCAAAGAAAGCATGGATGCCAATAAGCCTGCTAAGGTAATGCTCCCAGGCCAAAGGCACAGTCAAGAGGCATGTTCTCCTGCAGTTAGGGTTCCCATGCAGAAGTACGGCTGAGAGGCAGGTCCCCCTGTGGGTTGGATCTCTGCACAGACAGCACCTCCGAGAGGAGGTGTTTATTTCCACAATGACTTACGAATAGGATTCAGGGTGAGAACTGGGTGTGAGCGAATGCATCAAGGTCTGCAGGAACAAGGAAGCACAGAAGTTAGTTTGTAATTAGGGAACACGGAATTTCCCTTTCAGTTATATAAATTAGACAATCATTTCAGTACATGTAATTCAATGAAAGCTCAGGGAAAAGGGATGCTGTTTCAAGAAGGCATTGTGTATAAACTGGCTTCATCTGAAATACTGTCAAGAAACTGTATAAATATAACTGTCATCGGGAAATGGGAGAAAAAAACTGAACATGTCTTGTTTCCAAAACAGTGTGTCATAATACTGCTGTAAGCTATCTGGAATGCAATGTTTGTGTTTTAATAAGTAGTATCACTAATCTAAGTAACTTTGAGAAATTATTTTACTTTATTAATTGCTCAATTTCTTTTTGGGTCTTAGTTCTAAACTTTTTAGCTGTTACAAGCACATTGAGAAAATATCATATTTGTTAATTTTGAGTAAACAAGATAAATATTTTTTCTGATTTCTAATATGTAAGGGAGAGAAGAAAAAGTTACAATAATGTTGAAGACAGCTAAAAGGGGATGAAGCACACAAGTTATAGATGGTTCCTGCATCTGTGGTGGAACAGAGGAGCAGTGTGTGTGTGTGCATGTTTAGCATCAGCCACTTGGTCTGATGTATTTATTTTTATACATATGTCAATATATTTCTATTGTTTAGGGTTTTCATTTTAAGTTTTTGTGGACTTACATTGATTATGCATACCAACGGGTTTCACTATGGCATTTTCTTATTTTATATCACTCTTAAAATTATTGTGTACTAAACCAACCCTGAGCCCCGATTGTTTATTTTTTTAAAGCAGCTCTGTGATGCTATCAGTTAATACAGTGCCCTCCAAACTCTCTTACTGACTGTTGTTAGATTGTGTCCCTGCCTAAACATGCTGTCTGCTTCCCTTTGGGATGCTTCCTGGACTCTCTCTCTCTCTCTCTCTCTCTCTCTCTCTCTCTCTCTCCCAGAAAGTTGCAGATTCTAAGGGCTAGGAAGCATTTGTGCAAGAATGTAACAGACACATACCATCCAACTCTAGTTCTTCATGCCCTTGCTTCACTGTGTAAAGTGCTTCAAGTAATGCTTTATATATTAGACAATTCTCCTTATGCTGTGATCTCTACTGTAATGGAACAGACCTACCTTTAGTTTAGCAGTGAGAAAGCATATGCTGAAAAGGGGCAAATTAGTAAAGAAACTTCACTCCAAAGCAATCAGAGGAGAGGAGAGGATGACATTGTCACTAGACTTCATTGGCAGGTCTATCTTACCATGTGCAGGTGTTGCTAACCTGCATTTTTGTTGAGAACAGAAAGTACAGAGCCCAAGATCAGGATCACAGAGGATCCTGTTAAGAATACTGTAGAAGTCCTTGGGTTTTTTTTGTTTGTTTGTTTGTTTTGGGCATGGCTTTTTAGTCCAGAAGCAAAGATCCACAGAGTTGTAATTCGTGCAGAGAGGTGTGAGACAGGCTCAGAGCATGGATCTGGAGTTTAGAGACTTTGCTTGTGTGCTAGGTTAGCTTGAGATAGCTTGTGCTATCTGCTAATTGGCTGTGTCTGAGTCTTAACTGTAATATGGAATTAGTACTAATTACTTATAACATAGTAATTAACAGCTCTGGATAAATATACACCTTGCTGTGTGAACAATGCAACATTTTCAAAAGATGAAAATCAAAATTGTTACTTTGAAGTGGCCATTACTATTCATCAGTATGTTTTTGTTTGAAAACTGCTTTTCAATCCTGTAACGTCCCTTTCCTACATGAAGGAGAGTTAATGAACCCCTAGTGAATATTTTGAATTAACTAGAAGAAAAATAGTGTCTTGTAAATATCCATATTTAGCATAACAGTCACTCTGAGCACATCTATAGACATTTTCCCCAGTCTTCATGGTAACATAGACTATGTGAGGAGTCTTGAGGCTAGAATTTTACAACTATTTTCTTTTGAAACCTCTTTCTATAATAAATGAAACAAAAAGTCACAAAATAAAAAAATTCTTGCAAATTCACAAGAACTAGAGTCATAATTTATAAAATTTGGATTTTCTCAACCCGTCTTTTTCTGTGGTTGTAGTACACTTACTTTAGACACAAGCCTAACTTTGGTTTTTAAGGAGGAGAGTAACATGTAGTATCACTTTATTTCCACTGCTTGAAAGCCCAAACTTAAGAGTCCATTTAGCAAAGTAGCTCTTGGCTGGGTTTTCTTTTTTGTCTCTGACAGTATATATATATTTTACAATGATATCTTAAATAAAAATATCATGTACCTTGCCTGTGAACAATGTAGCATTCTCAAAAGATGAGAATCAAAATGGTTACTGTCACAGTGGCCATTATTATTCATAAATATGTTTTTATCAAAATGTGTTTTTTTTAATCCAGCTTTTTCTGTGCTGAAAATTGATACATAGGCGAGTTGGGGCATGCTGGTGCATGTCTTACCATCCCAGCACTTGGGAAGTGGAAGCAGTAGGATGAGGAGTTTACAGTCATCCTTCTTGTATATAGAGTTCAAGGCCAATGAGACCATAATTCAGGGAGAGAAAGGGGGACAGAGAGGAAAGAAGGGGAGAGAGAGACAGAGATTGTACAGCATTTTGTTGCTATTCACTCTAAGTCTATTTCAAACTATAATGAATTTTCTAAAACCTATGAGTTAGGACTAAACTGGATATTTCTCAGAGGGAGAAAGACCTTTTAGTTTAGTTATGCATATCTAATAATTGTGCTATAGCATTATGTCTATTCTGTGTTTGTGCGCATGTCTCTGTGTATGTCCTGTGTACATGTGTTTGTATATACATGTGTGTATATGAGTATGAGTCTCTGTATGTGTTTGTGCATGTGTATGAGTCTGGGTATGTAAGTATGTGTGTATGTGTATGTGGGTGTGTCTGTGCATGAATGTGTGTGCATATATGTGTGTGTCAGTGTGTTTGTATGTTTCTGTCTGCATGTATGTATATGTGTATGCAACTGCATGTGTATATACTGTGTATATGTGTGTGTTATATGTGCCTATGTATGCTGTATATATAAATGTTTGTATATTTGTTTGTATCTGTATTGTGTATGTGTTTCATGTCTGCATATGTTTGTATATTTGTATGTATATGTGTGCATGTATGTATAATGTATGTCTGTGTGTATATATATGTATATATGTGTACATGAATGCATAATGTATATGTCAGTATATGTATGCATGTATATGTGTATGTGTAGCTCTGTCTCCCCTTCTTCCCTATCGGTGTATTTGTGTATGTCTGTGATATATATGTATATGTATATATATGAATATATATTGTGTGTATGTATGATGACTATCCTACATTTCATATTGAATTTAGGAACAATGGCAATGACAATAGTTGAGATTGTCAGCTTTTCCTCTGAATTAATTAATGACATCATATTCAGGAAGCCTTTAATGACTTCTTTTAGTAGTTTTAATTTCATCTTCTCATTTCCAAGTATTATTTTACTTTCCTTTATTGATAGTTCATTTGGGAGTTTTACAGCTGGGTAAACATGTTTGAACAAGTTTGGGAAATCTGCTACATTCATGGTTTTTTGTGTTAGGAATTATTTAATGCTCTTCATATTTGGAAGCAAGTTTGGATATATGACATGCAGTTTATAGGAAGTACTTTAGCTGTAGAATCTTTCATACATGCTTTAGTTTGATGAGACACTCCAGTTAGAAAGAAATTGGATTCTGTACTTCCTCTAAGAGTATCAATATGTTCAGTTTAGCACCAGCTTCTCTAGAGAGTTAAAAGTTTGACATTTTCTTGGTAGGCAACCTCCTCACCTACTATGGTTGCAGTGGAGTTAACAGAATTATATGGTAGATGTATGAAAATATATGAGCCAAGTCTATGACAGTTTAATGTAAAATATAATTAGTGTGTATATCAAAATATAACAAATTTAATGTTAATGTCAGTCTGAACATCACAGGATTTGAGGTTCTTGAATGATGAAAAGAAATCTAAGCCTAATCTTTGTAATATCCTGTATTTCAGATCTTGTTTTTGCTTGTGTATATGTGTATGACGTCCATAGTGTGTATTAACATGGTCACATGTATGTGGGTACATTTATACTGCTCTTCTTTTATGGTTTTCTCCCTTATGTATTGAGGCCATGTTTCTCACTTGAACTCAGAACTTCCCTCAATTAAGTTAATATAGCTAGGCTGCTTGACCTGGGACATCTGACTCCCAGGATCTGGGATTACAGGTGGTCAATAATGCTCACCTGGCATTTACATTGATGCTGGCGCTCAAAGTCAGCTGAGTTTTGCTCACTGAGCCATCTTCCAAGCCCTCTAATGTCCTACTAGGATGAAACTAAAAAAATGATATGCCCTTGCTTTGTTAGTTACATTGTATGCTTTCTGACTTTAGTTCAGTGCCCAAACTTGGCATCTCTAGTAAAGTGGATGATCCTTGCACATCCTAGTGCAGACAGTCTTTCCATGTATATTTCCCATGCTCCTTCCCACCACTCACAATTCTGCTGATTTTTGTATGAGAATGATGATGGGGTGTCATCACAGGGCAAGGTATTTAAAGGGTTCAGTCCCCTTTGTTCCCAACATTCTTTTCCTCTTATCTCATTTATTTGAGAGTTGCTGCCTCAGACATCAGTGTTTCTCTGACTTCAAAGGATCCTGGGTGGTTTAAAGCATGTGTTAAGGGGGAGGGCTGAAATTCTTTGACCCAATATATGACTACAATAAGTACAAAGAAGGAAATGAACATCCCATATTTAATCCCTGC